TCAACGGCATTACTATAATTTGTATCTGCGATTACAAATTCTCTACTTCACCGAGCATTACGAAAGTGACAACGCGTATTCGTTGACATCACAGAAGTGGTAACGAGAATTCGTTGACATCACAAAACCATTACATTAAAAAAAATGACTTGAAAATTAGTTATTGTGCGATTTCACGGGGCGACACATCCCATCACGTGGTCCAGGTGGCTGGATGCTTTGTTTTTATTTTTTTTTTTGAGAAATACCATCACGAGATAGATTGCCAACCAAGGATGAATAACTTTTACCTGCCATGTGAGCACACCATCTGGTTGTGAATTCAAAGTTGTCCGTTTCGTAGACTGGTGTCAACCTAGGCTAGAGAGCCTAGTCGGCCTAATTAACCAACAACTGGGGATGTAGGAGAAGAGATGGATCTGTACCTTTCCGAAATGTATCTGGGAGAAATTGAACTCGACCTGATTTTGAATTAGGTTCGCCAATTTGTTTTTCTCAGCCACTAAACATAACATCATCCGCACAACAATTACTACTACTATAGGGATTTTCCAAGCGTAGCTTACATGTGGCACATGGTCGAAAGTATGGGGCACCCAGTGAGGATCGAACTCACTACTCTTTCCTAATTGTTCAGCGAGACAAATATATATATAACCATTACACTGCCTCGGGGTGCCCTAAATGATTTTCCAAGCGTAGCTTACATGTGGCACATGGTCGAAAGTATGGGGCACCCAGTGAGGATCGAACTCACTACTCATTCGTAATTGTTCAGCGAAACAAGCTTGCTAACCATTACACTGCCTCGAGGTGCCCTAAATGATTTTCTAAGGTAGCTTAGATGTGGCATAAGGCCGGAAGTATGGGGTTATCCAGTGAGGATCGAACTCACTACTCAGTCGTAATTGTTCTAGCGAGATAAGCTTGCTAACCATTACACCACGCCAAGGTGCCAAATGATTTTCTAAATGTAACTTAGATTTGGCACAAGGCCGAAAGAAGGTATCACCCAGTAGGGATCGAACTCATTATGCAGTTGTAATTGATTAAGCGAAACAAGCTTGCTAACTATTACATCACAGTGAAGTGCCTAATTACTACTACTATAATAATTATCTACAAAAATACTGTATGAAACAAAAAAGTAGTTGAGAATAGTCGAATTAGTGATGTATTTTCTTTTTATGTATAGTGTTGTAAGGGGTCCGCGTTGTGATATAATAGATATCAGTCGGCTTCGTTAAATTCTCTTGCGCGCAAATATTCTTTGGAAATGTATGAAGCGAATTCTTCCTTGGCTTTAATAGCAGAACGGATTGGGTCATATAGCCTTGGTTGGTAACCAGCTTACCGCAGAAAGGAACGGCAACCGACTGCGGGAAAATCTTCTGCCTAATCAGTCATGAATCAAAAAATATATGATCGTCCAAGCGTGTATCACGTGATGGCATTTAACTGACTGACTGACTTACTGACTAATAGGGTTGTAAAGGGTGTCTGTCGAGGATAAAAAGTGACATAATTAATGTTGGTATCCACACAGTGGAAGACAAAACATTCCAGTCTAACCGCAGCTGGCATGACGTGCCATCTGATCTTACATTCTTGATTTAAGGGAAGGTATTGGCGAGGAGGTCGATTCCTAGGAACTAGACTTCGGTATATCTGCCTCTCACATCCAAAGACAAGACAAGGCCGATAACGAACTAACGGGACACAAAACAGAAAAGCAAACAATTATGTCAGAATGAACTTGTAAAGTGTCAAGAAACAAATGTTATGATTAATTACATCAACTTTCTAAAAGTATTATAAACGTGAAGGCGGAGAGCATTTTCTTCAGACTTGTTAAAGTGTCTATGATGACAGATTTTCAGTAATATTTCTTCTAATTGTCAATGTAGAACGAAAAAATTTGTTTTAACAATTATTATTGTTTGTTGATTTACTTGAGTCTTTTAATAAAAATAATCAACTTCACCATAGACAATATAAAAATCCTATTTGTATTTTATTTTAATTTAACGAAAGAGTTACTTAAAAACTGTTTATTTACCCTATTAATTCCAAACTAGGAAACAGTGATCGTTTTATTTCTTTTTACGGGTTATCATTCCTTTGGGTGTTATTTAAAGCAGAAATATTTTTGGATTATGAGAATAACTCTCGCTATATATATATATATATATATATATATATATATATATATATATATATATATATATAAGGTATGTATGTCTCTCTCTCTCTCTCTCTCTCTCTATCCTATCTATCTATCTATCTATATATATATATATATATATATATATATATATATATATATATATATACACACACACATACACGTGTATATATGTCTACGTACGTATGAGTGGCGTTCCGACGACAATTTTTCCTCCCACTACCATAAAATCACTGATATACCCAACCATATATAAATCCAAAATTTAAAAATTAATCAGTTTTTCTGACGATCGCAAATAGCGTGAAATCCAGA